AGGGAGGGAAGAAAAGGAGAAGAAAGAAAGAAAATTATTTATCAAATTGTAGACAATATATATATTGATGTACAAATCAAAATAAATTAAATCCTTTTAAAAAGGGTACACTCTATCATGCATCATGGGGTACTGCTACTTTACAAATATCTGTTCTACACAGTACTGAGTTCTGCAGATTTATGGAGGGTGAAGGACAAAATGTGGCAAATGCTGCTATTATTACTGCTGAATTTTGGTGTTCTCACCACTGTCCTACAAGTTGTGTTGCAGTCTGAACAGTCCAGCTCATTCTTGGAATTTTTTGTTACCGCAGATGAGTATAAAATGCTAACAGAGCTGCACTGTTATTCCAGGACAATAAAACAATAGCACAAATCCAAAAATGATGGTAAATCATACTCTGCTTTTGGAGCTAGATGCTAATCTGTTCATTTCCTTGTGAGAAATCAACAAGTGATATAGGAATGGTAAATCATTTTTATGCAATCAGTTAGGGGAAAAAAAGTGCTTGTCATTGTATCTCTGACATTCTAGCACTTCCTCTGCTGCACACCAGTTAAAAAGTTGAGTCTTAAAAACATAGAAAAAGAAACATCAAAAGAAAAAAAAATGGTTTTGGTTACTCAGCAGACTTTTATCAATTTATTAATAGCACTCTATTCTAATTATCATTTGTAATCACATAGGTGTATGTAAATTTATACATATACACACAGCTCATAATGTGCATGCATGTCTGCACATATATAAATAAAATACAACAGACATACGCATACATGTATATGCTATGTGTGTGTATATATATATGCCATATGTAAACACACATATATAATATATATTATATATATGATCAGTTTATAGCATAGCCCAGACTTTTTAAATGAGCTTGATTGTCATATTTACTCAGTGTACATGATTTAGCTGACAGTGCAAGCATGATGAATGTGCACATATACTCACCCCATACTGTGATTTTAGCACATTTCTTCTTCTTTACTCATTTTGCTACACTTACCCACTTTTTCATGAATAAACGCAAAACATGTATAGCTATAGTTAACAGCTTGTCTACTCTGATTATACATTTTACGCACTATCAAGAACATTTATGATATAGGTCAAGGTTATCCATACCAGTGGCTCTGAAGAACATTTGGTCCTTTAGAAGTTTAACATACTGCTATGTTATTGCACAATGCATTGCAACACTATTTATTTTCTGAAATAACTCTAAGAGTCTCACTAGTGAATCAAAAAGAAGATGCCTCTAAGTACAAATTCAGGGTCTTGTTGGTTTGTTGTTGGTTTTCTTTTCTTTTTTTTTTTTTTTTTGGTATACATTCTTTCAATGCTTGCAAAACCCACCTGGTTGCTTTCAGGCTAGAGCCTGCTTTCCAAGAGAAGAGCATCTCAGATGCTTTTTTCTAAAGCTTCTAAGGAACTAAGAGAGAATGCATCAGGCAGAAGCTTCCCTTACCAACACCTGGAATCCTTTCCCATCATACAGCCTCGGCAGGCTCTGACATCTTCCTTCTCCCCCTTCTGTTATATTGAAAATGGACTTCAAAATCCTTCAAAAGCAAAATTCAGATTCTCAAGCAGATAGATTTCACTGGATGCTCATCATTATCCAACATTCACTGTGAACTTACAAGACATTCTAGATAAAATCTTAAGGCCCATTTTGTAGGAATCTTCCTCTGGCTTTTTCAGTGTTTCCAGTTCAGCAGAAGATAAGAAATAACACCTAGTTTATTAAAGAATACTGAGTATGGCTTTATAGTTACACTGTCATGTTTATTTGTAATGCTGTCTTTTCAATGACATTGAGAAGGGTAAAACTCCATCACTGTCCAGTAAACTTTTCTTTCAAAAATGTTCAAAATCTTTACTACTACTTCRAAAAGTTTCTGAAGAAAAAAACTAAAGTGCCTCAATGAATAATATATGCAAGCAAATCATGTATTAAAAATGTTATGGAAACACTTACAAAAATAAAATGCTTAATTTATTAAATAAAATACCCCTAACACATAGATGAAGGACTATTTTGATCTTGCTCATATTATTAAGAAGAAATAAATAAGAAAAAGAAAAGAAAGATAACTTCTTTTTTGCAATAATGCCCCCTCACAGAGGGAGGCCAAAGTCTTGAGAAATAGGTTATGGTAGGTTTTTGTTTGTAAGAATTCATATTAGAAATAATCCTAAGTCTAAATTGGAAATCTTCAACCTCCGGTTTGAAAAAAAAACAAATATGCCCATGCAGTTGTCATCAACAAAGTGGCCATGCAAATGCTGTACACGTACAATGCCCATCCAAACAAAAAGAAATAATTTAAGATTAAGTGGATGCTGAGAATGACAGTACTGGCACTGATACGAATGTGGTGCTGAGCTCAGGGTGTGTGCTCTCTGAATAGTAAGCCATAACCTCAGAGTCACATTTGTTTTCTCCAGGGATCCCACTGTTCTCTGTCATGGCTCAAACATAACCAGCAATCTCCGTGTTTTACATTACTCATGTAATATCAGCCTATTGTATCTGTAACATTGTAAAGGCATTTAAACACAGCTAATGTCCTCCATTAGCTCCATTTAATGAAATATAAGTTATACCATTATGAGTTTGCTATGCCTAATAGGGTGTACTACAAGATGAATGACAGTTTCTGCACAAAGGGCATTAGTCAATGAAGACCATGCACAGTTTTGGCTGCATGGTTGAAAACAAAAAAAAAAAAAAGTTTTGAGGAATTAAGGAATATGCTCCTGGACAAGCACAGTATAGGATACACCTACCCCAGAATCAAGAGCTTGCCCTATCTTATCAAAACCGTTATTTCAACACTTGATCCTGAAATTAATATTGTACAGTATTAAGCCTAGCTTCAACCTTTATTACCAAAGATGAGCTGGAAAACATTTTTATACCAGTGGCATGACAATATCCTACCAGAAGACAAAATGGGCATGGGTTTAGTTTATCATGATGTACCACAATTGTGTGCGCTGCAAGCAGCATCTTTTTATCTTTTACCATAGACTTGTATCTGTTAATGAAAAGTGCTGGCCAAGCATCTCCTTGAACAATCTCTCCAGGAAAGTGCTAAACTCCCTCTTGCTTCCATCAAATCATTTCAGTGTTTTTTTTTTTTTAGTGGAGTTGGATGCCATCTGATCCCATAGTTTCTCCAGACAGTGCATCTCAAAATGCTGTTTTTTTTTTCGCCATTTGGCGTTATCCCCACAAGAAATAAGCTTCATGTAGACAACAGTAGGCTTCTTTGTCCACCCACATGCTGAAGCAAAAAAATTGAGGTGAATCCATAGAAACTCCCAGTTTCTGTACAGCAGAAATCACAAAGTTCGAGTCAAATATATTTTTCCCTTTTTTTCATCCACATCAAAGGCATGAATACAACAAGGCATTGTTAGTTGTGGTGGGCAAACTGGAGAGTCTGCTGATATAACAGATCAGGTTTTTAAGGCCTTTGTCTATGCAGAGTTACAATAATGCAGAAGCCAAACTGTTTAGAAAGAGAGGAGAGAGAAAGAATGATAGAAACTGAAAGATAGAGAGAGAGAGAGAGAGAGAGAGAAGAAATATGTCTTAATAATGTCTTAAAAGTCAATACTGTGTCTACAGATGGAGAAGTGCACATTGCTTGCCCTTTGAAAGCTTCTCCACAACTTTGTCATTAATACTGTCAAAGTTAAGAACACATTTTAATGGAGTTCAGCGGCAGTTGAACACATTCATTCACGCAGCCCATAAGAAGAAATGCTAGGAGGCATTAGCCTAAAATATCCAGGTAGACTGGAGATGCCTTGGCCAAGTTCTGGAGGAGGGAATGGATTTCTTTGATGTTGAGCCTCATGTGAGGCTCTCGTTGCCAACAACCCAGCATCAAGTCATACACTTCCTTGGGGCATGTGCGAGGTCGCTGCAGGACTCGGCCCTGAGTGATGCACTCAATCACCTATGAAAAAAATCACAAAGAAAGGATCAGTGTGATTGTGCAAACTACATGGGACTCACCTAAAGAAGAGTTAGCTGCTCACGGCAGTCTCAAGAAATCTCCAGATTCTTTCAATTTATTAAAGACTGGTTTAGGACAACCACTTTACAACAATAACAYGTCCTGTTATGTAACAGAAATCACCCAGAGCCAGTTCAGGAAACAGGTAAGCTCTTTTCCATTGCCAACAGAAGAAGCCACATCCCAACTTGCTCCAATTGTACTTAAATAAATGTTATCCTTCTACCTTAAGGGAGAAAAGAATGAATCAGGTCAACTTCAACCACAGTGTTCAAGACAGTGCCATAAATACTTGGGAACAGAGTTACTGTTTTGACTAGATATATTTCTATCCCTTCCATGAGGAAGCCATACCATCAACTAAAATGCCACCCTTCCTCATACACACCTCATTGTTTGAGAGCTGATACCATGGCTGCTTGCCATAGGTAAAGATTTCCCATAGAACAACCCCCAGGCTCCAGACGTCACTTTCTGTGGTAAACTTCCTGTACATGATACTCTCTGGAGGCATCCAACGAATGGGCAGCATGGTGTGGCCCCCAACCTGAGAAAGACAAAAGGAAGAGTCAGAAGTAATTTCTCTACACTCTCAAAAGGAGAGTCGTGATGCAATCAAGATGCTAAACCAGAGAATACTAAACTTTTCCTTTTTGCCATTCACCTAAGCCTGTAAGAAGCAGTAAGCTATGATCTCAACTTCTCTGTTCCAGAGTAGCCATTATTAGCATGGCAGATTTCTCAACACARTCTCTTAAGGAATTGTTTCTGAAGAACATTTCTAATATTTATTTGGCACTCTCTAATCAAGGAAATGAACAAACTGAATAAAATTATTGATTAACCAAACCTGTTAATCCATTTTAAATTAGGCTGATTTTACTCTCTATTTTATAAGCAAGGAGACTGTGAAGATGCAGGTAATGAAATCTCCAATGACGTTTCTCCTAGAAACTCTGTGATTTCAACTGAGATGCATGAAGACACAGTGCTCTGATGGTATGACACCATAGGATCAGAATCTATGGTTTAACAGCTTACTTTGAATGGATAAAAAGCAATGTTATGGCCTTTACATATGTAATCAATGCCTCAAATTATTTTGTTACTTTAACTACCCAACCCTATACAACTTCACAGAAAATTCAGCCCATTAGATACAGTCACCTGATAATAAATAACTTTTAAGATGTAGACTACAGAGCCAAATCAACATAAGCTGAATTCCCTAGGAATCTGTCCTTGAATGAGTGACTTTGTGAAAGTCTATAACCTACTAATTTTCTTCAAAATGCTACATTTTTAAAAAACTGAGTTACTTAACATTAATTTCCTAAATTTCCTTCCTTTTATTTCCATTTCCTAAATGATTTGTTTTTCCCGGTATGTCAAACTGTGGATCGATCAATGAATAAATTAAAGACTTCTAAAACAGTGTTACCACATGAGCTACTGTGACACAGATATACAGATATTCTAGGTAGTTCTGCATTAAGGCAGCTATGAATATCCAAGGAATGAGAAAAAAAAAAAAAAGAAAGCTTTTTCATGGACATCTAATTTTTGATTAACTCTCTTTTTTGTCTGAAAATGTATTTAGTTATGAAACAACATTTGCACTTTCAAGATTCTGTCAATTCAAAGTATCATTTCTCCTGTGGGACCTTACATATGTTGTTATAAATTAGACTCTCCTTGTTCTAATGTTGCAACAACAAATGGAAGGAAAATCCAATAGAGGTTCAGTCAGGGTTCACTGTATTTCTGAATCACTCAGAACATCCATTTCCAGCTATTTGTCAGGAACTCAACATTAGCACAGCCTACCAAAATTATACAGCTATAGCTGTTAGCACTCAACCCTGTTCCATACTCTGCCGCCACAACATTCACTACTGATTGCACCAAAATTGAAAAAGATACTAAAACTTTCATAGATATGGTCTATTACAAGGCGCATCTCCTCCTGCCCCTACCTGTGATGCCTTGTGAGTGAGTTAGRGATATTTTTGTCTAAGATAGTGACTGAAAAGCAGGACTCCAAATTTTAAGTCCTGGCTACTCTCCATGCCTCTGTTTACTTGTCCATCAGGCAGAAGAGCTGCAAGGCTCCATTCAGCAGATTTTTTAATGACTGAGAAGTCAAGCAGAAGGAACAAAAGAGTTTGAAGTAACGTATCAATATGCTGTGATACAAACTATGTTTTATTTTGCCACTTCACCATAAACTAAATGGAACATGGCAACCAAATGGCTCCATATCACCACTGTTACTCCCTGCTCAAGTGGTATTTCATTAGAAAGTCAGAAAAGTTAGTCCCTTAGAAACATGCAGCCACAAACACCCGGCCAAAGGGCAAGTGCCATTAAAAGGTGATTAGTGATGAGAGACTTCTGAGCTCATCAAATATTAATATRGCTCTTAGATCTGCTCATCATATAGCCTCCACAATTGGTTTTTTTCAGCAATTTCTTTGAGTCATTCCTTAAAAATTAATGAAAGCTATAAACAAAAAAAGTATGTCTCTATTTTCTCTTATTTGTCACATCCTACATTAGCAGATTTTAAGAAAGCAATTAAAAAAAAGTCCAAATCCTCCTTTCCCATAGTTCCTTGCTATAGAACCATAGCGTAGTTGTGGTAGGGCTGTGTGCTGAATTTTCAGTGTCATTTGATAAAACAAATATCCCTGGAGCAATGATGATAAATGACTGCCAATTGATAGATGTTGCAATGAACAGACCTAGTTGTCTGTCTCTGCAGTCACAGCAAGACTGACTCATCGCTACCGACACTTACCAAGAACTTGATTTACAGATAAGCACACACCACAGAGCTTTTTGGCATTCTTCATGAGGCTGCACAACAGCCAGATATGGAGTCCTTTTTTGATCTTCAGGTAGAAGACTTTACTGGGCAGACTATCAAGCTGGGATTGAGAAGTCTTGACGTCTATCCAGCTCTACCACTGCTCTTCTCTATCACTTTAGATAAACTACTTCTAATGCCTTAGAGTCTTCGGGGAAATAAAATTCAGCCTCTTGGCAAAATAAAAGGTGTTAGCATCAATAAAAGGTGTTAGCTATGATTATAAAGGGTCTTCTCCTTGCCTGACTGTATTGCAGTGGGAACAGATGTGAAACATTTGGCATTATCTGTGGTGGGCTGAGCATCTTCCAKTCTACCGGGTTCGAGAGCAACTTTAACTGTGATCTCAGTTCAGCTACATCAAAAACACAGGCCAAGGTCTGGCTAAAGGCACTTTCCCTAAGTGCACACTTCTTTCTCTGCTAGCAATCAGTGGTCATGGAGTCAACAATTACTCAGCCCTGAAATGCACTGAGGGCAGTGTTAGGTACAAGCTTAAAGTGAAGCATGTGCTTCAGTGCTTTCTTGAACTGAAGCCTTGACATCACAGTTCTCGGGATGTCTGAGGCAAATCACCAGCCAGCTGTGAAGCTCCTTTTGTCCTTGTGGCAGTGATGAGCCCAAGGACTCACTGCTGTGTCGCAAGAGCACTGAGCTGCGGTAGAGAGCATTTTTGCTAATGTTCCCAAGGTCATAGCAAAGTTAAGGGGAAGTTCTGAAGCAGACTCAATGAAGGGAAAGATGAGTATATGGACCAAAATACTGGAAAGGTGCTCAGTGCTGCAGGGGAAACTCTCTTCTCGTATGTTATTAAGAAATATAAAAGGACTCTACTGCTTTCAGGTATTATGGGTACACTGTAGAATCAGTTACCTGGTACATTACACTGTAATTAAAGTGTTGCTTGATACACACCTTTTTCAATATGTTCATGAGCTTAGCAGACTACTATTGCAGGTAAACAACACCTTTAATATTAAATCTAGCTAAAGTTATGACAGGTTCAAAAGTATTACATATTTAACTTAATGAGATATCACTTTAAAATCTGCGTTGTAGCAGTAGTCAGGCTGCAAAAAAGACGATTTTATAGATACAAATTATGATATATTTTTTCTGGTATTTACTTGAGGGCAATTTCTTTATGGTGGGTCATTTTTATTTGGCATTGCACTTCTGTAGATCTTTGCAGTGGCTTAGGTACTTCCAAATGTCATTTTATGCAAGCAAGCACTCCCTAGCCCTGCTTTACATTGTTTGCTAGCAACATTGGGCTAGAATCTAAAGCAGAAAGCTTGGTGAATTAGCTTCTGCAATGTGCACACTATCCACAGGGAGGAGACTTCTGTGCCAGATCTCTGAACAATGATGCTGCTCTCCAAAGACACAGTTTGAAAGGGAAACTGCCACTCTGTTCCACATATGAAATGTTGTTACATTTTTGACAATGCAATGTCATTCCACTTGTCACCACTTTCAGCAGTCATCTTTTAAATAAATTTAGCACTTTTGAAAGGTGCCAGGTAACCAGACCTTGAACATTTCCTTTGTCTATTTGAGAACATCAAGTTTAAAGGATCATGGTGTACATATCATGCCTTAGCTTTGAGGCCGGAGAGTCTAATTCTTTCTTAAAGACTTTGCTAAAGTTTATTCAGCTTCTCTCTTCAGATGATCCTTATTGTGATTTGTGGACAGTGGCAAAATGATGGAGCTTGTCCACTGCAGAATTTTCTATACTAAGACGTAAAGCAGGCCTGTAGTACAAAAAACCATTGACAGAGTTTTTTGGGTCTTTTTGCAGCCATGAGTTTGCGCCCATCCATATGTACATTAAGGGTAAACCCAACTTCGTATCACCTCACAAATACCACCCCAGACATGTGTCCTCAGCTGACTGTCATCAACCTGCAATTTTCCAACATCACTCAAAAATTTATCTGTCGACACTCTGCTTTTGTCAGGCACATTTCCTGCCCAACCACCATGGGAAACCAAAGCCCTGTTGTCTCACAAAACCATCAAGTTTATTCCAGAAATGCTTCTCTACCTGTGGCACATTTGCTCACATTTGTGAGCAAAAAGGATATGCCATTTTGTATGAACAAATTCAGTGCTATGCTTCTGCTGGGAAGATGCTATGAGGAGAATCCTAGTGAAAGTGACCTTCAGAAACACAGAAACAGAAACACGGAAAAAAAATCGGTTCTGTGTGGAGCTCCACAGGTAAGGCACAAACCAAGGCCTGGGAAAGGCCCAAGAAAAAAAGTTGCTAAAGCAGTCCCAAATAATTCACTTGAGGCTTAACCCTCATCTGTGTGCAGCAGGAACAAACAGAGGGCTGGAGGACTCCAGTCTAGTGACATCAGTGGTGAGATCTGGGGATCAATGAGTTTGGCAGAGGGTGTAGGGGCTCAGCAGCAAGGCAGGAGGGTGCTGCAGGGGCTCACCAAAACAGATGGAGCATTTTTTCTTCCTATTTAATGCTGGTGACCATAGGTGTAAAACAGCCACTGCAGCTCTATAGGGAAGTTTATGTCCCACTTGCTGCTGCACAGGTGCCTTTCTCACATCTTCATGAGATAAGGAACATCCCTAGTAGCATCCACCAAAGGGACTGATGCACTGAAATATCAAGATGTTCTGCACTTTCCTTATATACTCCTAGGGAAGCCAGC